CTTTTGCTGTCTTCCTTTCGGTTCAGATTTTTGTTGAAATAGTCCAATCTGTAAGCTGCACATAGAATTTAAGGGAACTGTTTAGGAGAGCAGTGACCTTTGCAAGTTTGATTAGTAGGACTATCGAGGGAGTTACTGCTGTGTCTGCCTCCCCCTGGGCAGTCTCTCCTCATCAGAGCCGAGCTGGGAATGTTTACAGACTCTCCGGAGCTCCATAACCATAAGCTGAGGGTGGGAACTTGAATAAATATTGATTCCGAAATTGGGAAAACACTTGTGGTGGATTATTCTGGGATCATTTGTATATTTGTTTTAAATGTTCACTGGGGAAAGCGTTCATACCTGGCAAGGTGCAAAGAACAAGCCGAAATCTGTGGTGGAGGGCCTGGCTGGCCGCGCACGTCGGCCTCGGCCCAAGAGCCCCTGCCCAGACTTGGAGTGGAAAGAGCACAGTGCCGGGACGTAAGACCCTCACCAACGCCTTCTTCCCCGAATCTTGTTTACAGAACTCACCCAATAACATGAGCCTGAGCAACCAGCCGGGCACTCCGAGGGACGACAGCGAGATGGGGGGCAACTTCTTAAATCCCTTTCAGAGTGAAAGTGTAAGTACTTCCTTGGCTGTAGTATTGTATCTGCATTTTATCTCTGAAGCTCTTCTGTTAGAGTAAATGCATAAAGCCTTTATCACTGCTGTGTATCTAGAGTTGCAATAGTTGATCTTTTAAAAGTTAGAAAACACTTCAAGTGGAGTTTCTTTGAGAAAAATTGAAACAGTGGTTGTCTGGTGTACGCCCGTGCTCTCAGTTACAGAAACAGTACTGACAGTTTCTGCCTAGTCAGCGTGCCCAGCCGCGGGCTGGACTGAGACGGCTTGCCTGGCTGATGTCCCAGGGTGCCGTGTGCTGACGCGTCAAGGCCTTCCACAGCCTGGCCTCTTCTTGGCACTGTCCATGGGCTGGAGAAGTCAGCTCCAGGTGCTTCGTCCCGTCACGCACTGGGTGGCACCGGCCCACCGGCTGTGGTGGCTGAGATGCTGCCCAGGCCGTTGCCCCGTGTGGTGACCCTGCAGAGCCAAACGGTCACTTCCTGTGCTTCCACAGACGTGGGCAGGGCCGAAGGGGAAGCATAAAATTTCTTGCATTCGTTCATTCAACAAACAGCCCAAGTGCACCTCTCGGGCCTTGATGGTGTGCTGGGAGCTGGAAAGATCAGGAGACGAGGCGCCTGAGCACGGGCCGGGGCATTTTAAACTGCTGCTTCACCCTGGAAGCACTTGTGGAGTTGGAGAAGCACCATTTCCAGGCACCGTGTGCCTGCAGTGCTTTTGCTTCTTGGCCCCAGCCCGCCACTTCCGAGGGACATGGTGTTCCCTGCCTGGGCATTTTATCTCTGTTAAAACTGGGAAAGCCTATTGCCCTTTAGGTACTTGCAGTATCCATGCACAGTGAGGACAAGGAAAGTACACGGTCATAGGACAGACCAAGAGCTTAGCTGTTCCTGATGAGGAAACTGGAAAAGCGTGAGAAACTCCGTAGTTTAGTAACGCTGCAGTATAGGAACTTTGGCTCGGGGTCCTGTCATGGCTTTACTGCACTACTAGTAAGTAGAGATACTTATTTCCATTTTTATAGCTCTCCCAGCAACAATGCGATACAATACTCCAGGAGGCGTAACATAAATCAGTTCAGTTCAGCCTTTACTAAGCCTGCTGAAGCCAAAGCACCAGGTTAAGGATGAGGTTTGCTGAGATAAGCAGAGCACATCTTGTCCTGAATGCCCAGTAAGAAAGATGTGTGCTCACATCACTAACAAAAGCACCTTTCAGAATGGTGGTCTATACCACACCACACACAATAGCCAAGAAAGGGAGTCTCAGAGGGGGTTCACCTGCTGCACATGATAAAGAAGATGAGGGTTGTGGACGAATGTCCTCCCGCATGCTCGCATCCACAGTGAAATACTGCTCAGTCTTAAAAAGGACGGAGCTCTATTACCGCAGCATGGACGCAGCTGGGAGACACTGTGTTACATGACCTGAGGCAAGCGCAGAAAGAGAGGCCTGGCCTGGCCTCACCCATAGGCAGAACCTAAATGTCCTCAAGCACCTGAAGCTGAGCACAGAATGCCGACCCCAGAGCTGGGGGCTGGCAAGTAAGGCGGACCCCCAGGGACCACAGTCCAGTGACCCAGGAGAGGTGAGAGCAGATGTGCGGTGCTGGTGGCATCACTGAGAGTGGCTGCACTGTGTATCCCCAAACACAAGCCAGGAAGGTGGTGGAGGCATTCAGTGGAAAGCGGGGGCAGGCTTGGAGGAAAGGGATGTGTCGTCCCACCCCCGTGTGAACACTGCAGTGGAGCAAGAGTGGAAACATCGAATCGCGTTCCCTAAGTGGGTACCATTTTCTGTGCCATTTGAAACATAAAAATGTAAGACAAGGGATGGCCAAACAGCTCAGCAGATTAAAGCGCCTGCAAGCAGGTGCAGGGGCCAGGGTTCGATCCCTCCAGCCTGCCGTTCTGGTCCCGCTCCCAGGGCACAATGAAACAGCAATTGAGACTGGGCATGGTGGCGCGCTCCTGTAATCCCAGCTCTTGGGAGGTTGTAAACAGGATCAGTACGTGTCCGATCTAGTAGTGAGACCCTGAACACCCTGTAGACTCTTCCCTAAAATAAAAAAAAGGACAAAAGCAATAAGCCATGCTTTTTTTAAAAAAGTAAACATGATGAAGAGGGGTTTAAGAAATATTTTTTATTTATTTACTTTTGTCTTTTTGACACAGGGTTTCATTATGCAGTTCAGGCTGGCCTCGAGCTCAGTTTGTAGCCCAGGCTGGTCTGGAACTCACAACAGTCCTCCTGCCTCAGCCTCCTGCATGCTGGGATTACAGGTGTGCACTGCCACACCCAGCTTGAAGCAGGTTCCATGTGACTTTATGACCAGTGGGATTCACCCCCACCCTCCACCCCCGAGCAGTCACTGTGACTGCAGCGTTGTCAGGGTTGGAGTAGGGCCGCAGATTTGAGGTCAGCCTTAGAAGGCTGGCATGGGGAGCAGTCTGTCGAATACAACAGGATTGGAGGAGCTGCTGCAGAATGGACGCCAGCCCCAGGTTCCCTGCAAGTGTGTGCTGGGAAGGAGGGCAGGGCTCGCCCCCAGCCCATCCTGGCCGGCCTTCACCCCACGCAGGGACAAGGCAGCATCGAGAGCAACACCTGCTCCTCTTCACCTTCTCTGGCCTGCAGCAGCGAATTCACAGAGGGAAGGGTGCCGCCAGGGCAGCGGGTGAACAGCCCAGCCCGCCCGGCACTTACCCGGCTGTCTGCGGGGCCAGAGAGCTGACCTGGGACTGGCCACTGTCACGGGGGTCTTTGTCCCATAACCGCGCCACTCCATGCAGACATGTTCAGGGAGAAGGGAAAGGAAGAAAGAGATTCCAGCTGACAAACCAAAGGCCTCGCACGGCCGAGCAAGGTATCCCCGTGGTGGCTGTGGAGAGCGAAACGCAGAACTGCTCGGTGATTCAAAAAGAAACATTTTCCAAGAAATGCAATGGCAAATGCCAGTGTGCTGAATGTGCATTGTGGAACTGAACTGCACACGCTTTGGAGCTGGCTGCAGTGTGGCGTCTGTTGCTTTCGCCTCACGTGAAACCTCAGAGGTCACTGGACAGAGCCTGTGTCCGCGACTGCGCGTGTGCAGCTTCGCTCCGCTGCACAGAAACAGGTGTCCAGCCCAAGGTCACGCCCGAAGGACCAGCGCGCTGGACAGCGCAGAATGTGCTGGGAGGGGTCCGGGGCCCAGCCTCCTGGGGCCGATCGCCAGCAAGGCCTTTCAGTTCAGAAAGCAGAGATGCCCCCTAGTGTCCAAACTCGACATGTTTTTGAAAGCACAGAGTACAAAGTGATCAAGTTCAAAAACAGATCTTTGTGCTTCCTGAATTACTTGAGAAAAGCATTTTCCTATGGTGTTGATCTGTAATCATCTAAGCACAAACAATATGAAAATCTTAGTATCAGACAGGACTGAGCAGCAGTGTGGTGGTCAGTTACGCCCGCCCCTCTAGGTCTCCAGAAGAGGAGAAATCACGTCAGCCCTAGGATTTCCAAGCAGTCACATAAGCCCCAAATGTACTTCACTTTGTCTCACAGTGGCAGAACCATTCCCTATTTTCCACTAAGAGATAAAACGCAGATGCTGAGACAGAAGTGTAGTGAGAACTCAGGGGTTCTTGAAGGGCTCGCCCTGGCGTTTATGTCTCTGCCCAGTGCACTGGTGAACGCTCTGGTGCAGCAGGCTGTGCCCAGAACGGCTGTAACCAGGAATCACGGTGCACCTCCAGGTGGGCTGTCTCAGAGCACGCACACGTGCACCGGCTCTGCAATGCCATGTGATCTTGTCCTGTAAGTATATACTGTGTAAAATTTTAAAACATCACCAGAGCAAGTTTCACATCTGCAGCGTTTAGTTTTTCGCTAAGCAGGAACACTGCTGAAAGGGCCCTAGGAGCCACCTCTGGGGAGACGCAGACTCACAGGGTGGTCCCGAAACAGGCAAGCTGATAGGAATGGGAATGTCAGGGCCTGCGCCCAAGAGCCTCGTGGTAGGTGGCACCTGGATACCGGAAGCCAGTCTCCACACAGAGTGCCATGGTCTGCTAGGGCTCTGGATGTGACTCTCCACTTAGCACCCGCTCTTCCTCTCCTGGGAAGACGCAGGCCCTGTGGCACACGGCAGACAGAGCCCCTCCTGCTCACGCACCCTGCGGTCTCTCCCAGGATCCTGGGCTTCTCTTCCTCCCCTTCCTGTGAAGCAGCTCCCAGCTCCCAGCAGCCAGGGCGGCTGGCGACCTGCAGCCCTGAGGCAGGCATGGGGCAGACACACAGCAACTGCCTGGCACGTACCTGAGCACTGCACTTGCGCCTCTGCAGCTCTGAGGCCTGCAAGCTTACACGGCCTTCTAGCCCCCTCATTTTCTGGAGTTACTTCCTGGAGTGCAGGCTACCTGTCCTTCTGATGCAGTCTGGCCCTCACTCAGTTTGTTGTGCAGTTTCTTCCCTTAGTTTCTTCCTTGGGCAAACCTACCTCCTAATGTCCCATGGAATCAGTAACAGATTGTGAGTTTCCTGCAAGATTTGCTTACAACTTTGGAAACAGCTCAGGTTAACAATGTTGCCAGTTGTTAGTGTTAAGGGCTAGTGGCAACCAAAAAAACTCTATGTGAATTTAACAATGTATGTTAGAATGAAAATCATTATATATTTTTGCACTATCTCCTAATGCTTTATGAGCTATGTATGAGTAAATTGGAATACTTAGGAAAAAAATATTCCAGAACTTTTGAAATCTCCATTCTTCATGCTATGCAATAAGTGAAGTGAACCTTCACAATGGAAATAACTGGGGCCACCCAGAAATGGTTTTAAACATTTCTTCTGAGGCTGTACGCGACTGGTGGACATCCCGGTCATCCTAGAAGAAAGTCACCTGGCTGCCACACACTGAGCTGCAGTTCCTCTTATAAATAGCAGCACTGTAGGAAGCACACGCTGCATTTCCCTGTGCATGTTTCCCGTGTCCTCTGGTATGTTCCACTTTTTAAA